TAATACATTGATATTCAATTTTTATTTGTAAACTCATCAGAAAATTATTGTCAAATGATCACAAATATATAAAATGAATATGATGCCTAAATTCTATGGGGAAAAAAAAAAACTCAAATTAATTTTAAAAAAAAAAAAAAATGTAAACCGCAAACCATTCGCAACCGCCCGCACATCTACAAACCCTATCTGCACAAACCGCAAACCGCATTGCGAGCAGTTGTGGATTAACTTTTTCCAAACCGCATAGATGCGGGCGAGTCAAAACCAAACCGCAAACAGTACAAAATCGATCCACAATCACCCCTAACAAAGGTGAATAAAGTTGGAAGTATACAAATGGCCCCATTTAGAAATTCAGTCTTTTTCTAGAGGGGGAAAAATACAATTTGCAGAAAACTTTAGCTAAGAAAAAACAAATCTATAAAATATATATATATATATATATATAAATAAAAGTGTCGATGCGAGGACCCGATCTTGCATTCTATTTTTAAATTCTGTTTGATTGCATTTGCATGTATTGTATTCACCAAAGTTGACATTCTCCACTCTTTATCAAAAGGTGTATAAGGTTATCTTATATCACAAATGGTAAGTTCTAATGGTTATTGTGATAGTATATAATTTTACGTATAAAAAACAATCAATTTTATATACACGCATTTCATACAAAAAGATCTATCAGAAAATCATATTTCAAAAATATAACGGTCATATTATTCTGGTGGGATTTTTTGTATATATTTTTTGCCCAAAAAAATTATCTTATTATAATTTTCTCAGGTAGCATGAGCCCTACAATGCCTTAAAAGTGAAGAATCTTAATCGCTCGGCTAAGGATCCCCTATTCTCAAATGCTTTTGTATACATGTACTATTGTACTTCTAATCATTAGATTAGATGAAAATTTTGAAATACGTGAATCTTAAGACATGATTCAATTAAAATAAAATAAAAAATAAAAGAATTTGAAAATAAAAGATCCCGTGCCTAATCACCCAATAAGGCATGATCCAATGCTTTCAAATTGCAGTTTGGCATGCTTTGCCTCTTTTTGAATTAAATAGTAACAAACCATTAATTTGATGCAATAAAAGTATATATATATAGTGGGCCTTTTTCCCACAAAGAATCACACATGATGATAAAAGAAAATGTAGCAGGATTGTTCCAGCACATTGTTTTGCAACACTGCTAATCCTGTGCACCATTTTAGGAAAATGCAACCCATAATTTTATTTTTTATTTCATTTTCTCACTTTTAGACGCAAATCAGTGAGTCTTATGTCATTTACTGATGTGGATTGTATTGTCTTGTATCTAAGTGTTCAAATAAAATAATAATAAAATGAGATTATATTTAGAATAACTCATAATTTAACGTATAGAGAACATCTTAGCAGCATTTCTTTCAAATTAGAGCTATGTGATTCTATTCTAGAAATGAACAATGTGGTAGGCATATCTTCTTCTCCTCCTCCTCCTAGAAAGGATGATTATGTGGATTTTATTATAATATTAAATTTTTTTTTTTTTTTCACTATGCTCTTCCAAATTTCTATTTTCTTATTCATTCTCTATCAGCTTTCGGTTTTTCTTGAATTGAACTCGATGAGAATCTTTCCAAGGGAGAGCAAAAAAAAAAAGATACCCCAATCGGATAAACCCAACATCTATGTCCACCTCACCAGATGCTCCAAGATTAGGTCTACCATGAAGTCTTTTTGAGAGTTTTATTCCATCACATGCTGAGTAAACAAAATCAGACTCAGTCATTAAAAATATAAATAAACATATATGTGTGCGTGTTCGTGTGCGTGTGCGCGCATAAAGTATTAGTTTGATATTTGGGATAGCAATTTGAACCCGGTCCGACGGGAACCCGACCCCCCATCCCCGATAAAAGTGGTTTTTTTCCTGAAAAATACCTCCGACGGGCCGGGGATGGTATTTGAAATTAAATCCCCAATCAGTTTCGGACCGGGGACGGAGATAGCTTTCACAACCCCGGACCCGGCCCGCCCCCGTTTTTTTCCGAAATAAAATTACCATAATACCCCTCCATTCATTCATATATATATATATATATAACCCTTTTTTTTAGTAGGCCTCTGATCTATAAAACAAAAGTCACATACATAACTCAAAAAAATCTCTCTCTCTCACTCGCTCTCTCTCTCTCAGTCACATAATCCCCGATCAGACTCTCTCTCTCTCTCTCTCTCTTCTCTCACTCTCTCTCCTCTCCACAATCGCGATGGCATCGTCGTCTCCTCCTCCTCTTCCGTCTCCTCCTCTATCACCTCTCGCCGCCTCATCCTCCGTCGCTTCCTCCTCCTCCAGGCCACCGCCGAACCTTCATACTTCGTGGCCTCTCGCCTCATCCTCCCTCCACCACGGTAGATCTGAGCAGATCACCTCTCATCGTCGTCTTTGTGTGTGTGTCTAAGTTGATCTGTCTGTATTTTTTTATTTTTTTATTTTTTTTTTGTTAATGATATTGTTGTTGATGATGTTGTTGTTGATGAAAATGATGTTATTGATGATTTATTGTTGAGAGAGAAAGCTAAACACAGAGAAAGAGAGTGTTACGGGGATTTTCAAGGGTCGGAGAAACCCGATCCCCGTTAGGGGCGAGGGCGAGGGCGGGGGCGGGGGGAGTGATGGGTTCCTCGCCAAGGATCGAGGCCGGAGACGGGGAATTTGGTAGCTTCGGGGATCGGGAATGGGGGGTGTGATCCCCGGCCCCGCCCCAGCCCGTTGCCATTCCTATTTGATATACATTGTTGGTCCATATTCTAATAACTCAAGTCTTTGAGACATTCAGTGACTTAAGATGGTAATTAGAGTTATGGTATTATTTTCTAATAGTTTTAAACTTTTAGGGTGACTTTACCATAATGACACATAGCACTCGTTTTATCTTGACATATATTGTTGGACTTAATCTTAATAAAAATTGTTATATATCACTTCTTTTTCTTTTCTTTTTTTCACAATTTTATATCACTGCGAACATGGGATTGTTTCTAAATAATGAACCAATTATGAGTGATCCATATAAGTGATGATACAAAACGGTGACAAAAATAGGTGACAAAGTATTTCTTTTTTCTAGTAGTTCAATCTTTTGGTGTGACTTAACATGGAGACACAACTAATCAGGACCAAGCTTCTGTCCAGTCCAGATGCAATTCGGGCCTATGGGCCCATCACAGGCCTAATTTTTTTATTTTGTAAGTTTCTATATATATATATTGATCGGATAATCATAATTATATTATTTTATCATGTTTATTTTTTAGAAGAATAGATGACTAATATGATTTTCAAGATAGACCGTCTACTTTTTCAAAAACAAATGCAATAAAGTCGATCGTGTAGTTACACTATCAATAAGTCTTTTTTTTTTTTTTTTTTACAAACGATCTATACCTTACAAAATAAACGGATCGAATTACCATAGTAGAGCCCGTGGGAGGCCTACAGCTCCAAAGTGCACCATTTCCATTAATTACTATACTAGCCTCATGTAGGGATCAAAACAAGGTGTAACTAAAATCAAGTTCATTACAAAACACAGCAGTCATATATATGATCCTGGAGACGCAAATTAATCAAATATGGATCCTGATTTCAAGCATGGTGGTTCCACATTGTTTCAGTCTTGCAGGATTGGTTTTGGATGCTACAACAGTATGCAATATGTATGTACCCTACATGTGTGTGTGTGCACACACGTGTGAGAGTGAAAGTGAGAAAGGTTGCTACCAAGCAATGATCAATTCTAATTTGGAATGGAACCATCTTTTCAAATATTATTTTTTTTCATTCGCTTTTCTATCTTTAGTTAAAGCATATTCCAGTTCACAACCTACCACCTTAGGCCTCTCTATATAACTTCCATCAGAGCTCAAGTTCTTCACAGCCAATTCTTAACTCTCTCTCTCTTCACCACAAGCATTCTTCAACCATCTTTCCAACAATGGCCACAGTGACATTTTGGTGGCTGAAAAGCCCATGTTGATCTTCAGCAAAAGCAGTTGTTGCATTTACCACACCATTAAGAAACTGATACACGGCTTTGGGGCGAGTCCTACTATTTATGAGCTTGATGAACTTTCAAATGGACAACAACTGGAAAGGGAGTTGTTGTCATTAGGGCACGAGCCGAGTGTACCTGCTGTGTTCATAGGGGGAGAGTTGGTTGGCGGTTCTAATGAGGTCATGAGCCTCCATCTCCAAGGCAGGCTAGTCCAATTGCTCATACAGGCTGGAGCTATATTTGTACAGGTTTTGGATGCTAAAACAGTATGTAATATGTATGTACCCTACATGTGTGTGCGCGCACGCACGTGTGAGAGTGAGAGTGAGAGTGAGAAAGGTTACCATCAAGCAATGATCAATTCTAATTTGGAATAGAACTAACTTTTCGAATATTATTTTTTTCATTTGCTTTTCTATCTTTACTTAAAGCATATCCCAATTCACAACCCACCACCTTAGGCCTCTCTATATAACTTCCATCAGAGCTCAAGTTCTTCACAGCCAACTCTTAACTCTCTCTCTCTTTCTCTATTCACCACAAGCATTCTTCAACCATCTTTCCAACAATGGCCACAGTGACAGCTTTGGTGGCTGAAAGCCCATGGTGATCTTCAGCAAAAGCAGTTGTTGCATTTGCCACTCCATTAAGAAACTGATACACGGTTTTGGGGCGAGTCCTACTATTTATGAACTTGATGAACTTTCAAATGAACAACAACTGGAAAGGGAGTTGTTGTCATTAGGGCGTGAGCCGAGTGTACCAGCTGTGTTCATAGGGGGAGAGTTGGTTGGCAGTTCTAATGAGGTCATGAGCCTCCATCTCCAAGGCAGGCTAGTCCAATTGCTCATACAGGCTAGAGCTATATTTGTACAGGTTTTGGATGCTAAAACAGTATGTAATATGTATGTACCCTACATGTGTGCGCGCGCACGCGCGAGAGAGTGAGAGTGAGAAAGGTTACCATCAAGCAATGATCAATTCTAATTTGGAATAGAACTATCTTTTCGAATATTATTTTTTTCATTTGCTTTTCTATCTTTACTTAAAGCATATCCCAATTCACAACCCACCACCTTAGGCCTCTCTATATAACTTCCATCAGAGCTCAAGTTCTTCACAGCCAACTCTTAACTCTCTCTCTCTTCACCACAAGCATTCTTCAACCATCTTTCCAACAATGGCCACAGTGACAGCTTTGGTGGCTGAAAAGCCCATGGTGATCTTCAGCAAAAGCAGTTGTTGCATTTGCCACTCCATTAAGAAACTGATACACGGTTTTGGGGCGAGTCCTACTATTTATGAGCTTGATGAACTTTCAAATGGACAACAACTGGAAAGGGAGTTGTTGTCATTAGGGCGTGAGCCGAGTGTACCAGCTGTGTTCATAGGGGGAGAGTTAGTTGGCGGTTCTAAAGAGGTCATGAGCCTCCATCTCCAAGGCAAGCTAGTCCAATTGCTCATACAGGCTGGAGCTATATTTGTACAGGTTTGATGAGAGAACTTATATTTTAAGGTGTATTTTCCAGGTGTATTTTCCTTTTCTTTTCTTTTTTTCTTTTTTTTCGTTGGCACTAAATAAAGTCATACTTAGTTATTTTACTATCTCTTAAACATAATTCATTAATGTCTGTATTTCTACATGCATTAGTGCAAGAATACAGCATATGTAATTCCAATTGTAGTGCCCCCAACAAATAAAATATAAAACGAGCATATTATACATTCAAGAGACAAAATTACCAGTTCACTATAAGAGTGAATGGAGAGGTGGGTCTGATTCAGGGCTCAGTTATTCTTGAGAAGCAAAACGTGATTGTTTCAAGGTTCAGGTATGTGAATTTTCTCTCTCCAATGGATGTAAGCTGATTTGTGTCAGACTGCGTAAATTCTATGGATGTGCAATAATCCCAACAAATCATAACTTAAAATTTAATAAATTTGTTTCTTTTCATCATATGTAAATCCTGTGTATTTTTACCACAAATTAACTAGAAATTAAAATTATTGCCACAAACAAAAAAAAAAAAAAAACCATTTTTTCTATCATAATCATAACACAGCAGAAGGTGTGCATGTATTGGGAGAAGAACAGCCAAACAAAAGAATCAGAGGACTAAGAAGAGCTAAAACTTTGAAAGGAACAATACTATAACAAAGCATTGAGAAAAGCTAACCTTGAACAGAATTGGTTATAATCCACTTATTTTTAGAAAATGAAGCAACCAAGTATTCCATCATTTGTGAATATAATCTTTCAGCACATTACTGTTCTGCTCTAGTTTAGCATTCCTTCGCCAATTCTCTACCGCTCTCGAAACAGTGGCATTTGCCTCGCATATCTCTTCAGCAGAGAACTTGTGTTCAACAACTCCCAAAGGTCCAGGCTCCAGTACCTTAATCACCGTTTCCATCTCCTGCTCCAGCTGTCTATGAAATAAATGCCACGTAAGTTTTGCCAAAACGAAAACATTGCCAGTTTATAACAATAAACAAGCTAACATAAAAAAGCCAAAAGCAACTTTGAGAAGGACAAAAACAAGGTAAGTTTATATAGGGCTGACTTGAGAGCCGAGACAAAGGAGCCATGTATAACAGAGACTAAGGTCTTCAACTACGAAGTATGGACACAAACACACCGACACGCCAATTTTTAAAAAATGCAAGACACGACACGTGGGGAACATGCATAAAATATATAATTTTATATATTTATTATATGTTATATATATGTGAATATATCATTCAAAGATAATAAAAAATGCAATATGACACTAATTCTTATAAATTTATATGATTTTCGTTTTATTATTGTACTTCAAGTTGTTTTATTCAAATTTATAATTAGTTTCACCTGTGTTTAATCGATAGACACGTGTGTTTAAGTGATAGACACGTGTGTCTTTTAAGTGTCCAAAGAGTGTCCGGATCTTTAAAAAAAGTCTTTAAAAAAAAAAGGACAAATTTTGAAGAGTGTCAAACACATGTCGGAAAAGTGTCAAAGAATGTCGGTATTGACACGGATACATGACCTTAAAAGTGTCCGAGCTTCTTAGGTCTTGAGTGAAGCTAAGGTCATATATGAAATTTTCACATAAGGATGATGAATCAAGCAAGTGCAATTCAGGATAAGAAAGAGAGAATCAACATAGAGACTGACAAAAGAGGGTAACTTTGTACGGAGCAGACTGGTGATAAAGCATCCAATCCAATCCAATCTATTGGACATGATTTTTGAGCATTATTTTATGTCTCCATCTTCTTTTCTTTTTCCTTTATTTTTAAAACACGACTCTCCATTACAACAAAATTTCACACAGCATATAAATACAGCAAAAGGAAAATCAAGAGTGTATACATGATGTAGAATTACATGATCTTGTTCAATGTCAGAATAAACAAACAGAGCTGTGACATAGTCTCTGGAGAAAGCAAATCAATCGCAAACCCTAACGATACATACATATATAGGTGAGAGAGAGTATATCATATATACATATATGTATAGAGAGAGAGAGAGAGAGAGAGAGAGAGAGAGTACCTGAAGAGCCTGGAGAAGGGTAAGGAATTGCCGAGCTTAGAAAAGGATAGAGGCATTCCGATTCCAGAGAGAAAAGAAGAGAAGAGAAGCGGCTCAGTCACTGTGTGTGTTTCAATTTGAGCACCCAAAAATGGTTTGGCGTTGGGCCTCAGTGCCCAATTCAACTCATGAGAGTGGGTTCCAACCCTGCGCCCCTTCCCCATCCTTTCGGTGCACAAATTTTTGTTTTTTGTTTTTTTTTTCGGACATCAATTTAGAGGGGCCCTTAAAATAAAATAATTTTTATTTTTTAATTTATTTTCAATTTAAATTATTTACATATCTTTTTTAAAATAAAATTGATAAACAAAAAAACTCAATATAAGTGTACATAAAATAGCTAAAATATCTTTTTTTTTTATTGAATTTAATAACTAAAATGCTCTGTTTCGTTAGTTTTACTTAGCAAAAATGGGTATATGCTTTAGATTGAAAATAAATTAAAAAATCAGAATTAAAATTAACAAAACTAAAAACTCATGATTTATGTTGTCATCAAGGTCAAATTCTGAGTTTTTTTTATAATTTTTTCATAAAATTATTTAGTTTAGAAGTCAGCTTTTGTTTAGTTTGATTTTTAGAATTAATTTTATGAAACAAAATTTAATGAAATTAAAAATTAATTTAGTGTCAAAATATATATAAATAAATAAAATACTTATCATTTACATGATTTTTGTTTTTTGGGAGAAAGAAATAATTTTGAAAATATATTTTAGGTGTTTAATTTTATTAAATTAATTTCTACTTCTCCAAAAAAAAAAAAAAAATCTGAAAACAGATTAAATCAAACAAAGCTGTACCTTTAGTTTGGAAATTGATTTCCGAACAAAATTCAATGGTTCCAAAATTAGATTCGAAAATCAACTTTCAAAAATTAAGTGTGTAAGCGAAGATATAGTGATTTGTGAGAATAAAAGTTAAATACTTATTAACAAACTCTTTTTTTATCGTCGTTCTGCCCCAAAACATAATTACTATTAAAGCATAAAAGTACAAAAAACCCCAAATTTGTGCTGAATTTTTTACTTTGTCATATCAATGATGTGCATTATGAAAGGCATTTTGTCCTATCACTCTTTTTCGCTGCTTACATTCACTTGTAGGAACTACGCAGGGCCGAGCCTGGTTTACAAAAGATGAAGGGCCGAAAGTAACAGGCGGTGTTGTTCTCCCTATAGGCAGGCGTTGTTCTGCTGCTGGTGAATCTATACCTGAGCAAAGAGATAATGCCTCTATGGCAGCTAGAATTGGGTAACTTCAATGAAATTGTAGGTGTTCTTTCAATATCATGCTCTTAATGTTGGAAACTAATATTTTCAAAACATTAAAATGAAGGAGCCTAGAATTCATCTGCAGAAAATAGGAAATTCAAGATTTCGATTTGTCCTAATGAAAGTCCTGTTGATTGACCAAAGAGACCGATGAGAAACAATCCCGTTGTGCTATTTATCACAATGGGTTACAAACTCCTCCAGCATTTGCAACTATTGTAAAGTAACCTTTGTAGAGTTCCGACCCATCAATTTGAATTTGATTCAAATTACCAGACTCCTCTCCTGCATAGTCACTGGACTTGACAACAATTTGTATAGAAAAAAGACTACGCCTGATCAAAACAAACAGACAAAATATAGATATGGATCCACTTATTCTATCTCACATTCATATCTAATGCACAAGCTTATGATGATTCAATAAAATTCTACGTGACATTAGAATTTACACATACTGCTCCCAAAACATTTGCCAAACCATCAAAGAATTAAAACATTGTTCTCAAACAGGAAGTTTGCTGCTATAATGCTTACGAATTGCATGTGCTAAAATATGATTGTAAACACGGTGGCTAAGTGGGAAACATTTTCGGTGGATGTAACTATAAACCATTCAAAGTTTCAAATGGAACCCTAAATTCCACAGCATTTTCGCCCCACCCCTATCATACAAGCATGGACAATGCTTCTCAAGGTCCAACAATGTCATCTCTTACAAGCATTGATCAATGGATATCAAGACAGAATTCCTACCGAGTCAAATTTAAAACCATCGAGACAATCACTTACCATATACCAATTAGAGACTGCAATGAAATGCCCCAAGATTTGAGAAGCCTTTAAAAAGGTTTCTACATAAGCCCTCAGAATCAGAAGCCCGAAATGCACCCTCCTGAAATTACCCATATAAGACTAGGAATCACAAAAAATGGAAATTGGATGGTCCCTTTCACTTTAAAAATAAAGCAAGAGTAGAAAAGGCACGAACACGGATTGAATACAAACTTTGGCTTACCTGATGGAAATGACTACTTTGTTGTTGTTAATGAGAGGAAAACATTTCCACAGGGGGGTTTGCCATTTCAGCTTTGTTATTTGAGTTGATATTGATGCCAATGTTGACTATATGACCGTGAATGATCAGATGTAGGCTATGTACCAAATATGTTGATGAACCTTGATATTAAGAGATGAAACTTTGTACAACAAACAGTATTAAGCTTCCTCAGATCCAAGAATAGATGAGACAGTGAATGGATTTTAGGTTTTACTTTTAGCTTGAACGACGAACTTCAACACCTTGTCTCGTGCTTGTACTAATGCTTAATGGGGCAGAACTTTGACTCGACTGCTGGACATCAGAAAGTGAAGCAGACACGGTTTGTGAGTAGATGAAACCAACCGAACTACTTGAAGTGTTTCCAGATGAAGGTGTTCTACTTGAATGAGGAGGATCCAATATAGGCCCTGATATAAATTCAGGGCGCGGCTCTGAATTTGAAAATGGTGGAGCCAGAGTAGCAAGGGAAGACCCGACCAAGTAGGGAGCAACCAGCATGTCTGAGAGAGACGAAGCTGATGGACTATATCTTACTGTTCGTATTGGATGATCAAATCTGCATGTGCTCCCAAACTTGCAGTGTCCATTTTGCATATAGAAAGCACAAGGTTGTACCCCCTGTTCATCAAACAAAGATCATATTGAATATTTGTTCCAAAAAATAAATAAATAAATTAGCCGAAAAAATAAAAATAAATAAAAATCTTGAAAACATAACAAAATTAAATGTAATGACAAGCAAATCCACTACAGAAAATTAAGGATTCAAAAGGCAGCTTTTACACAACTTTTCCTTCCTTTGTTTCCTTTCCTTTTCAAACTTTGAATTAACACTCAGTTCACCATGTTCAACACATTGAACAATAAACCTTAAGATTTTCTGTCATACCAACTAGTGTTTGCAGGAATCTTCAGCAATAGCCAGCAACAAAATCTTCTCATAATTTGTGACTCTTTGTTTGACTCCAAATATGCAGGAAAATAAATTGATGAGTGAATAAGATTGCTTCTTCAGTATACAACATCATGAAGAGGAACCATAATATTTTATCTTGTCTAAATTATTTTTCCTTCTGATCGACGACAATCATTTTGCATTGTCCTCCTACAAGTGAAATTACCTTCCATTACTAGTTTACATCCTTTTGCAAGTTTTCTATCTTTCATTAAGGAAGTGCAAGGATCATGCATTGGGTGGCCCTCAGTCCATTGGAATTTAAACAGTGACAATATATGCACAAATTTCATAATTATCAACAAAAATATTTTCACATTCACAAAGAGCTGAGATTCTTTATATATATACATATGACACAAAACAGGAATTCCATTAAAACAGCCACCACTACACCACTACCACCTCCACTTCACCTACTCCTTACCTACTACACACTCACCCTCTTCTATATATAGGAATCATGAATCATTGTAATATAAATCAATATATCAATCAATAATAATATATACAATTTATTCTCTCTCTTTCTCTATACATTATTTCTTACAAATTCCATTAAAACAGCCAAACACATTTCAACATTTAGCCAAATCTCTAGTGTTTTAGTTTCTGGCCAAGTGAGAGATGTCAACAAACAGAAGTGCATATTTCAGACTAAACTTCACTCTCACACCATTAACAGACCCAGTAGATGAGATAGGAAGCCACATCATGTCTGAACAACAACAACTAAAAGAATGAAAAGACTAGCATGGTTTACAAATTCATGTAGAAAATATATTTCAGTCATTCAGAACAATAACAGGTATTAGGTCCACAAAATACTTTTAAGATATAAAAATCACGCAACATGATAAACTCTATAAAATTTAGAACAAGGCTAATAGTTAAAAAAGAAATGTTAAAATAATCAAATGAAATATAGTAATAGTTTAATATATTTATACAACTATGTTTCGTATGAATTTCTACATGCAGACAACTAGACAAGCAGTACACAAGCCAAAATTTCGACCAAGTGCACAAACACTTTTGATAGTTGAGCTCAATCTGTGCCCATACCATTCACTAAATCATTGCCTATTACCTTTTCTAATAGTCCACATGCATATTTCTATCGACTTTCCTGTAGTCTTAATGGTAACCACCACCTTGAATCAAAACACAACTTAATGCTCATTTTATCCCTTTATACCACCTCATGCTTCTCACCTCACCAGTGCACTAGTACTGCTTGGCACAAGCTGATACAGCCCTTTCCAATTCCTTAAAAACTTTTCAGCATATTGGATCTAGCGTGATTTATGTTGCTAAAAATGCATCAGTATAGGCAGTTTTTCAAACGTAGAAGAAACCAAGTGATATAACGAATTACTATCAACCCATCAATCTTTCCAGTCTATGCAACCTGAATTTGTAATCAGCACAAGTTGCCCAGTTTCTTCAGAAATAACATTAAAGAAAAAGTTCTTTGTATGTAAATATTGACACATCTATGATCTAACATTTTTAGTTGCATTAAAATAATGTGTAGGATATAACTGCAAATCAACTCAATCTCCAAATTTGTTTCAATGTTTCCATACCCGTTCATATTATTTACAAATTTTAATACAAGGCTTGCCCCATTGGGTCGCGTGGCCAAGCCTACCACACACCATGACCCCAACCCTCGTCTAGTTTGTTGAAGAAAGATAGATTTGATAGCATTTTTGTCCACTTAACTCCAAAAGCCTTTGTCCCAATTATTTGGGTTGCACAAACATTTAGATTATAACCAACATAATACCTAAACTGAAAATTTAGCAACTATATTTTTGGATTAGTGATAACTTGAGAGTTACTATTCCCCAGCCTATCAAAAATAAAAAATTTATACAAAAAAAAAAAGAAAAAAGAAAAAAAAGAAGTAATGTGAGTTAAGTAAAGGATGGTAAGAGGAATATCGATAAACTTGCCAGTATGAGAGAAAAGAAAAGGTAAAGCTTGAACTATGCAAAATGCATTAAGGGTAAGAATTGGACAGTGTTATTAAAGGACGATAAGAACAAGGAACAATGGAGGAGTTACTTTAAGATATATCTAATGGAAATCATGTTAGGGGCTTAAGTTTCGAATTAAGAAAATAATTGTAGCAATTATACGTCTATAGATTTTTTTTCCAAAAATTAGGATAGTAGATGGAAAGGAAGCCTAATAGTATTCATATTAAGTTTTGGAAGTACTTAGGTGATGAAGGAGCAATTTGGTCAACTAATTAACTTGTTTAATAAGATTTTGCAGATAAAGAAGCATGATGAATAAAGCAACATTTTTTTAAAGATCCTAATAATACTAAATTCTTTAGTGTGGCAAATGCTTAAGACCCACAATTTAGATCCCAAAATTCACCCACAATGAAGTGGCAAGAGAGTTGAGCCTTATATAGTTGAGTGTGACCAATCAAAAGTTGACAGCTAACATGCCATCTCATATGAATCCCACATCATTTAGATTCTAAAACACATGAACTCACCATACAACAAAGAAAGAAGAAAGCAGGAATAAAATTTGATAATTAGAATTCTCATCAGTAAATGTTAGGCTACACTATAGCAGTTTATTTCATTGATCCGATTTTTTTCGCAATCAAAATTCTTATATGTGCATAAGCATCAGTGTATTTATTTTAGCATATGCAACTACAATTGTAACCAATTGTACCGTTCCAAATAACTAGTCAATATAAAACTCCAGTATATAGTTGCTAGACATGGTTAGAAAATAAAAATATAAACCACCAACACAACAACCAAATCTCTGCATAAAGCCACTTATGTTCAACACTCAATCACCGTATCACAAAACCCTCAAGAAATAAAATAAAATGTGAGCCAACTTTGTCGTTTGCCATGGGAATTTTGAAATAAAAAATAGAAAGAAAAAACAGTAAATTAATTCTTAAATAAGGAGAAAAAATAATTAAGGGATTAGAGAAGTATACCGGACGCATAGGGAGACCCATGGAACTGAGGAGACAATTTGTCTTTGATACCACCCAATCTGGTGGATGATGAAACCTACAAGAAGATCCAAATTTACAATCTCCTGTTTTCAAATAGTATTGGCAATCAGGTTGCCCAGGCCTCTCCGGAAACCCTCTTTCCTGAGTACTGCTTGAAGGTCCAGCAGGAGAGGGGAAGGTAGGATATGGTCCCACAAATGCAGATGCTGAAGAAGGTAACTGTGTAACACCATATGGGGAACCTGCTCCAACAGAGTGTGGAGCACTAGGAGACAATACTGGGCTTACAGGTCCCTACATCAAATAAAATGACACTAACATCAAAAGAGTGGTTACAATTTAAAAAATCCATAACAGGTAACAAGCACGGACACGAAAATTTTTAAAAAATACAGGACACGACACATGGGGGACACATAAACATATGCCATATATAAGGATATATGTCCGACACAACACTCTAATTTCTTAGAAATGTCCGTGCTTCTTAGTATAATAGAAATAACTTTGTAATATACCGCGTAAGGACTCCAACCCGAAATGGGAACAACTCCAGGAGAAAGAAGCACGGGACCATAAGCACCTGGCACATATGAGCCAGGCAATGGTGGAGGCCTTCCAGTCCTATAGCTGGGAGAGGCTGCCCCATATGGATCAAATGAAGGAACTGATGATGAAGACTGCACCGTTGGATAAAATTGATGTGCAGGCTCTGGCATTGACATCCCACCTGGTTGAGGATGATCAAATTTACAGGCTACACCAAATTTGCATTGCCCCGTTTTCAAATAGTAGGAGCATTCTCTCTCACCCTGTCACAACAGAGACAAACAAGGCAACTTCAGTATCCCTCCCAAGAATCCGTACCATGCTCGAGTTCCACATAATGGAAAGTGGGAACTTATGAAGGAAGAACAATTATTACTGGTCTTAATGGGTATCCATAGATATTGACTCGCATATTACTCATCGATCCACCACCATTTCTAGGATGGTGGAACTTGCAGGATGCACCAAATTTACAGATCCCAGTCCTTGAATAATACTGCAAATTGAGCAATGCCAATGCAATCAATACATTACAAACAAGAAAAGACAACGAAATAATTTGAACAATCAACCCAAATAAGCAAAATCGAAACAGATTCCTCTGGCACCAACACTGATCTGGCTAAGGCCAATATCTTGGATACCTGACACGTGAGCTCCCCTGGCCGCTCTGGATACTCACCTCTTCCAAATCTTACAGTTGCCCCAACCTGAAGAGAATTTCAAAGCAATAATTCAGAAAACCATACTTATGTTGTGTTTGGTTCATGGATTTGGATAGGGATTTGGAAAGGAAAACAGAAGACGTGTGTAAAATGTAATTATATTTCATTCACATTTCACTTACATTCCCCTTTTCCTTTCCCTTTCAAAGTTCCTACCCAAATCCATTAACCAAACACAGCCTTATGGTTTCATGATAAATTCATTAATGTTTCAAGGAATGAAAGTAAACTATCTACATCAATGCAACAAAGAAAGAAGAAAGGAAAATAGTAAATGAAGCCAGTTTAAGGAATTATTTTCTGATTGTTTCACTCGTTCTCTGTAAGAAGAACCATAAGTCTCTGCAACTTCAGCTGATACATTGCCCAATAAGAAACATTTCATTGCAACAAAACAATATAAATTCTATATTTTGCAATTACATATTCTCTTAGTGCTGAGAGATAGAGATGGACTCAAAAAACCCATATCAAAAAATTATATATAAAAAAACTCAAAAACCGTTGAATTCAAAGAAAAAGGAGATGATCGAGGGCGTACCGAGCTACGGTCGCGAGGGTGATTGTAACGACACTTGGAACCGTATCCACAGGACCCAGTTCGCATGTAGAAAGCACAGTCGGGCACGCCCGATCGCTCCGGGTACGGCAATTCTCTGCTCCACAACCCGAACCGTTGCATTGACTCTGCTTGGAAGAAAAAAGCAAATCGAAACGAAAACACAGCTCAGAGACCATTGCATTGCGAAAACCCTAGAAATTTCAGCGCAATCGAAATCAAAATGCAATGAAAAATGAAATTCAAATGCCAAACAATTGAACCCACCTTCGAGCCCAGTTTCGGACCCCACGGGCCAACCCGACTCCGACCCGTCTCTCCCAGTGCTCCGCCCGTAAAACTCCATTGAAATTTTTTGGGGTTCTGATTCTCTATGAGTTAGGATTTTATAGAAGGAAAAAAAAAAAAAAAAAAAAGGGAAATTGTGAATTTGTGTATGAATAGACACTGTTTTGTAGAGTAATTAATCAGAGAGTTTGGTAGATCGAAGAAAGATTGATACAGTGCATGATGGGATGAGAGAGAGAGAGAGAGACTCTCTCTCTAAAACTATTCTTGTGCGGTCTGGTTCTTTAGCTCTCTCTCTCTCTCTCTGTTTTTTTTTCAAAGCGTGTGCTTTTTGTTTGGGTTCTCTCTCTAAAACTACAACTTTCTCTCTCTAAAACAACGTTTGTTTGTGTACCCGCCAAAGTCTGGACAGCCGACAGGGGTTAAAGCCCCCCATCAGGTAATTTTCGAGGGAAATATGGTAACCGACATTGTTTTTTGTTTTATATTTACATAACTACCATCCACCTTGTTCGTTTACTTTTCAAATTTTAAATTTTTTGGTTTAATTACACTATCATCACTTAATTGTCAATAAATATCACTTTGCTCTTTTTAAATTGGATAAATTATAAACACACCCTTTAAAATTTACTTAAAGCACAGATTACCCCTTATAATTTAAAAAAATACAAATACTTCCTTGTTAAAAAAATTTATTTAAAGGAATTAATTAAAAATATGAAATTCATAATTGTTCTCCTATACAATAATAAAATTACTCCCTCCGTCCCAAAATATTGGTCCCTTTTGGGGAATCTAACTTTTTTTGGTAGTACACTTATTGCATTTAAAAAAAGTTGATTTTCCAAAATTACCCTTTTGATAGTACATTTTTTGGGAATATAAATGTCATAATTGTACTTTTTAAATTGTTTATTAATTTAAAAGAAGGACAAAATAGGAAATTTACATTATTTTTGTACTTGATTTATAAAGAGGGACTAATATTTTGGGACAATGAAAAATGGAATAAGGGACTAATATTTTGGGACGGAGGGAGTACTTAAATTATTAATTGAAATATATTTATAACATTATTAAAAACTGTTAATTGACTTGATGATTTATTAATAAAATAGGAGATTTGTTATGAAATTAGAAACTTCAGAGGATAAAATATAATTTTTAAAATCACAGGGAGCGATTTGTATTTTAATCAAATTTCAAGATGTGTATTTATAATTTACCCTTTTAAATTTGTACATTTTCAATCTCTTGATTATAAAAAAAATGTACTGTTTTTATTTATTTTGGAGATGGTTTGGAAACGGTCACTACAGGAAAACCTGTCAAATAACACGGAGCTTTTTGCGACGGGGTACCTGCCGTCGCAAAAAGTGGTCTTTTTGCGACGCAGTGTAATTTCTGTCGCCAAAAATTTATTTTGCGACGGGGTTTATTTACCGTCGATAAAAATGGGCTTCTGCGACGGGTGTGACTTCCGTCGCTAATGAAATTAAAAGAAAAATGTAGGAACAGTTGCGACACACGGTATACCGTCGCAAAAAATATTCTTTAGCGACGGTAAAACGTTACCGTCGCAAATGGTGGATCATCTGTGACGGCAGAGGCCCATCGCAAATACTCTGGGTAAAAATGACGTCGTTTTATTTGTTAATGATGTACCATTTGCGACGGTTAAATTTTCCCGTCGCAAAAAAGTTTTTTTTCATATCCCGCTCATTTCAGTGGCCCATTCGCGGTCATATGTCCCAAAATCCCTAAAATCCCAAATCAAAATCCATTGATCCCAAAATCCCCAATCTCCGACGGCGACGGCCTTCGCAGAGTGGCGAGGGTGAACGGTGAACGATGGCCTTCGCCGGAGTGACGAGCAGCAGCGACGCGTGACGAGGGTGAACGACGACTGACGAGGCAAGACATTCATCTCTTATCTTCAAGTTCGCCAATTGTAGCTCATCGTGCTTTGTTGTCGCCTACATTTTTCTTGATCGGTTCGTGCACAGCCAACCACTTTTGCCGATCAATTCCTTCAATGTGCATCGGTTCTCATTACCAGTGTCTTGGTTTCTATCAAGTTCATGGATGATATGTGAGTTCTCTTCACTTTTCTTCTTCTTTTTTTTCTTTTCCCGATATGGGATTGTAAAATAAAAGGTAAATGAAAGCTAGCTAATAATAAAAATTCAATAATCTTAGAATGAGGGTTTAGAGCTCGTAGAGGGCTTCTTCCTAAAACCTCATTTTTCTTATATAATATATAAATAGTGAAACAAACTTTGCTTTTTTTTCTTCTCCCAATGTGAGATTATAAAATAAATCATAAACTAATTAGAGTTCCTCTATCAATTAAACTTAATATTTAAAAAAAAAAATTCAAATTTTAAAATGTGTAGATTTGATTCATTACGTGTGATTCACACTATGCTAAATTTAAATACTCCTACATACATTAATTGAAATTCTTATGTATATACATTTCTAAAGTTAAATTGGGTTGTCATATGAACTTGTATCCCTCTTCAATTTGATCATTCTTTTTTTCTATTTTCATTCAATTGAATTCTAGGTTTATACTTCTTTGATTTTTTATTTTTATTTTTTCAAATTTCTCTTGTGAATTGACTTTCCTTAAAAATTGAAAAAGAATAAAAATTGAAGCTTAAATGTCAACACACCTGAACATTATCATAGAGCTCAAACAGGGGAACGGCCAGTAGTTTCAAATTTTTGGGTACTGCGAAGTACTCTCTTTCAGACAAGTGAACAAGGAAAAGCTTCTTACACTCCTGCATTGAAAATTCCTCTTCAGGACAGCTGATTTCAAGACAACTCAATCAGGGAAAAAACAAATTTATTCCATGTGTCACTGGGAAGTCCAAAGATCCTCTACTACCTTAGGCTTTGTGATATGTGGAGGGCAATAGGGGTACATTATAGTTTCAAAGTTTGGCCTCCACCAGATAGCCACACACTCGCCAATCTGCAACAAAATGTGACAAAATAAGCACAATTAAACCCCCACAATAATGTGTCCCTTCATGTTCCTTGTCAACATGAAAATCAAGCAGGGCAATACAATTCTTTCTTGATGATGGAAAAAGAGCAACTAGCATATCTCTCGAATCAGGAACACAGTTTTTTTGGTGAATCAGGAATACAGTTACTTCTCCTAGATGGAGAGCAACAAAGGAAAACAAGAACAAAAAATATAAATAAAAAGCTAATCAGCTGGAACATGGTGGATGCCTATTTTCTTAGGGATTAGCTTTTTTATCTTATAATTTCCCCAATCAAAAAGGATGATAGTCAATCAAACCAACTTGGTATTTACTGTTTCCTTCCCAGTTGTTGAAAATTTAGCTAGAAGCTAATTTCTGCCTCCTCATTTAATAAATAATAACACACAAACTTGTGTCTAATTGGGATTTGAACCCAGACATCTCTCTTTAGGGGCAGGAGATACCACTCAAACTAACAACTAATAGCAGCATATGCTTGACTATTAAAGGTAATGAAAGAACAAACCTGCCAATTCGGCTGCAATGAAGGAGAATTAGCACCAAGTTTGCTTGACAATTTCCTTTTCAAGCCTTCAATTTCTACAAAAAGTAGAAAGCAATATCCTAACATCTGAGAGAGAGAGAGAAGGCACACTATAAATTATATACCATTTTCTCCAGGCTTCAAACGGCCACCAGGAAGCTTGCAAAAGGTGTTTCCAATTTGCAAAAGAAGAATGTGAGGATGGTTATGCTCTTGCACTTGCACAAACCAAGCATTGAGAGCAAAATCAAGGAACTTATAAGTACACTAAACTCTAAACCCTAACTTATAACTGACAAGGATGCTTGGTGGTATTGGTGATAACTGATAATTGATTGGCTCGGTTTACATTTGAAACTAACAAATATCTAAATCACATCGTAAAATGCAAGAGTTGTCTTCTTAAATCAGGATTCATTATAATTTCTCCAAAATAAGCATACATACATTTAACGTGCGTAACATATCCATAATATGTAGTTGAAGACAAATCAACTCAAAAAAAGTTCATCAGTCCATGCCATATGGTTATAATAATTGGATTTTGTTATTTGAAATGCTTAGTTTACATGGTTGTAGATGTGTGTGGGCTTATATGTGTGCATTCCTGATTTTTCCTCCTCTTCGTCTTGTTCTTCTTTGTAGGTTATTGCAGGTATTTGTGTATTGGTATGGCTTGTAAATATTGGTCATTTTCGTGATCCTGCTCATGGTGGTTTCTTACAGGGGGCAATCCACTACTTTAAGGTAATGATTTATGGATGAGGTTCCTTCTTTTCTATTGCATACATGTGCATATACATATATATTGAACAATGCTAGAAACAACCCTTAAGGTAAAAAGTGTGTAAAAAGTGTATTGAAATGTGTATAAGTGTTTTGGGACATGTGTGGATCTATTTTGTGCCTGGTTTGGAGGTAATTTTAATTCTCTCACACTTTTTTGCTCGATACTTCTGCCTCTAGTTACATAGTTGAATCCCAAAAATTGTTCTGGGCTGCTTTTGCTTTTTGATGTCATGAAATCATGTCCTTTGTTTGTGTTTGTTGCAAAAATCTTTTTATTTCAGTTGGTGCAGTACATTAACCAATGACAAGTGCAATCTCTCCTTACAACCAGGAACTTTTTTTTGTGTTTGGATCTTAGATAAAAATAAAAAATAGCTCTATTGTACATTTAATTTATTAATGCAAGTAAATTTTTAATGACAAAGAGCTTACATCCTGCTGCAACAGAAGCACATCCTTTACACGCACCTTCATCCAGTTGCTCCTCATTTTCATCCTGTAACCTTGATACAGAGGTAGGTAATTCTTCTTCTTCCTTACCCCATTTGGTTGGTAATTCTTCGAAATATGCATCTTGGTTTTTCTTTCATGAATATCATTTTGGACCTTAGAGGCTGTGATTTTATGGGAACATGATTCAAAATGTAGTAATTATTAAAATAAAAAAAAAAACTCAAAAGGTCACAACAGATTTTTACCCTTACATCTCATTATGACTCTTACATTTGTTGTAATTATATTTTTTTCTAGGGCATATTTGTTTTGCATGTGAGATGTATATCTCCTAGTAAGTTTGCCTGAAGCAAATAAATAGTGGGAAACACATATAAGGGAAGTACAGATGATGGATAAGAGTTGGATTGATTTGCCAAATAGGATGTCGAGGGAATACATTAATGAGATTGATCAATTCCTTGTGTTTGCCTACACCAATAGGGTTGAAGGTTCGATGATTAGTTGTCCGTGTAGAAAATGTGAGAATCGATACCATCTTGTGCGAGAGGGTGTACGGGAGCATCTAATTTTAAATGATTTTTTAAAAAAGTACAAACATTGGATTAATCATGGGAAATCTTACGTATCTCTGCATGGTAATTGAGAGAATGAAACATTGGCTAATTTAGACATTGGGGACGATATGGTTGGAATGATATAAGGGGCTATGGGAAATCCACATGCCGTTACAAGTATTGAGGGTAATAAATCACAAGGGCCTGATCCCCATGCATCTGAACCCCAGCTCGGTCCAAATGCAGAGACTGCAAAGTATTTCAAACTTCTTCAAGATACATAAAGTGAATTGTATCCAGGTTGTCAAAAGTTCACATCTTTGTCATTCATTGTTCGACTTCTACATTTGAAGGTGCTTAATCAGTGGACAGACAAGTCTGTTGACATGTTGCTTGAGTTATTAAATGAG